TAAACTAAAAAATTAATTGTTATTTACAATTAAAATATTTATAATAGTTTTATTTATTATTTATTATATAAATAAAAATTTATTTATTTCTGGAGTATTTGAAATCTTTAAATTAAGTTAAAGTTAAAGCTGAAGTCATTAATTTTTATTCGAAATTCAAAATTATAATTAATTCAAAAATATAATTAACTGCTTTATATAATTATAAATTTAATTTAAAATAATATTAGAATTACCATTTCGCATTATATTATTAATCAATTATTCAATGCTAATAAAATAATTTTATTTGAAATTTTAATTAATTAATTTTTTACATAATATTACCCAATATAGATTGGAAGTCACTCGAAAAGGAATTATGTCTAACGTGTATTTTGTGTGATTGAATTTAAGGAAAATTTATATATTTAATTAAAAAAAAAAAAAACGAAATTATAATAAAGATGCGTATTACAAATATATTTTTGTATAAAGTTCATAATATCCCATATAGATATCGTGGGTATGTATAAATATCCATTCCAATAAAATTTTGAGGTTATGTTTTAATTATTCGGTAATTTTTTTATATTGTGATATTGCAATTGATGCAAAAACATAAAATAAAATGGTGTTTCATAATATATTTGTTATTACGTAAAAAATATTATTTAAAAAAATTTATTTTTAATTTTTCATTGTAATATTACAAACTAAAATTATGCTTATTATATATTTATATATTTAAATAATGTTATTAATGATACATAAATATTATATCAAATATAGGAAATATGGTAAAATTAAAAAACCCACTTTCAAGGATATAATGGATTTTAAAAACGATCTTGAAAGAGAAGAAGAAAATATGTTAATACTGAGACATCCTTATCTTACTATCGAACAATCACAAGGTCATATGAAAGAAGTTAGAAAACAAAATTATTTGATTCAGTTAAATAAGTGGCGACAAGAAAAAAATGAAAAATTTAACAAAAAAGTAACTATTTCAGATCGGTTAAATCATTTAAAAATAGCTAATGTATGGGATTAATTTTTATTTTATAAATATATATAATTATTTATTTTAAAAATAAAGAATTGTATTAAATAAAGTTTCTATATATACAATATGAATAATATCAACATATATAGTATTATATAATATTATTTGATTTTTAAAAATTTTTTTTAATAAAACAAACTGAAAAAAAAGTAGATTGTAAAATTAAAAATTGAAATATATATAATGGAATACAATATTAAGGTCTTAGCACAGTAATTTCATTGAATTTTCCATTTGAATAATTTTTTCTGTTATATATGTTTGATTCATGGATTTACAATAATTTCATTTCGAAATCTGGTATGTAAATCCTTTGGTTTGTTTCTTATCCAATTAAATGGATCTCTAATAATTTCTGTTTCTGTCAATGTTTTTCCCTCGTATAGAAAGTTTGCAAAATCTGATACAATAGGATCTGCCGCAATACTACTCATAGCAATAACTTTATTATTTTTAATATAATATGCAAAAAATTCTAATTTCTCTAAAGAACCATAAATTCTAATTTTCTCTGGTGTTCCATGTCCTGTATAATTTAAAATAATTGTAATGTAATTATAATGTAAATATATTTTATTTTTTTTTTCATTATTAAATATAAAAATATAACGTACCCACATATCTATAACTCTTTCCAAACAATGTTGTCCAAAAAAATGGTACAGCATTTAAAGCAGTAGTTTTACCACATATATTTAATGCTGCTATTTTACCATGATAATGTGCTAATGAATAATGACCTATTGCAGCTGAAATTTCATCAGAACCAAATAAAGGTGCATAAGCTACATCTCCACCGGCATATATATTTTCTACATTTGTTTTCAAATACTAAAATTATACATACAATTATTTATTACATTATTATTCAATCTATCTCAAAATTAATGCTTAAAATATTCATTACTGCATGTTATTTTACCTTATCCACTTTAATGGTTCCATCTGGTAGCATTTCAATAGGAGACTGCTTTATCCATTCAGTATATACTTGTGCTCCAATTCCAATAATTACTATATCGGCAACAAGAACTTGATCATCATTAAGTACAACTGAACCTACAGCAGTACTATCATCTTTTTTTGCAACAAATTGTGTAATATTACGTTCAAATATAAATTTAATACCTTGAAAATATAATATTTATTTATTTTAACATTTTAATTTGATATTTAAATATAATAATAAAATACTTAAGTATATTTCAATATATTACCTTCATCTTTAAATTGCTGCTTGATTCTATTACCAATATCTGTTCCAAATACTGGTTGTAAAGGAGTTTTACCTCTTCCAACAATAGTAATAGATGCACATTTTTTTGCACAAAAAGCAGCAACTTCCATAGCAATAAAACCTAATCCTAATATTATCATATGTTTTTCAAGTGACAGTTTTGAATTTATAGTTTGAGCATCTGTATTATTTCTTAATATATGGATATTAGATAAATTAACACCAGGTATTTCAGGTATTCTGGCCATACTTCCAGTACAAATAAATAAATTATTGTATATTAATTTTTCATTGTTACTTAAATGAAGAATGTTATTATTTGTATCTAATCCTATAATATATTAATATTATAAAATTTGAAATTTAAAAAAAAATATATTTCATATTTATTTACCTATGGCTTCTACATCCAATTTAGTTTCAATTTTGTGCTCTTTGTAAAATGAGTTTGGTCTTAAAATTATTTTTTCAATATCTATATCAAAAGCTTTGGATATCTTTACTCTCTCATATGGTAATACATTTTCTTTACAAATCATAGTAATATTTCCTGTAAAATTTTCTTGTCGCAAACTTTCTGCACATGTTGCACCTGCTGGTCCACCTCCAACTATTATAACAGTATTAGTGTTATTGGGATCTCGTTCACACATATTCTTTACCCTTCTACTGAATTCTAAATCTTTGCGATTTGCTTTCACGTGTACAAAACCAGATGTATCTATGTTTACCTATTTCATCAAATTTTATATTTTATTTTATTGTTTATTTTATGTTTATTCATTAAATACCTGGAAACAAGGTAAAGAATCTAATCCTGGATAATCTTCTATATCTCCTGTTTTAATATTAAAACATGCGCCATGCCATGGACATCTTATTCTTCCATCTCCTAGTGCTCCTGTATGAAGTAAAGCTCCATAATGTGTACATTTTGTACCAATAGCATGTATTTGTCCTTTTTGTTTAATTAATAAGATTTTTCCTCCATTTTGTCCAAGTGGCAAGAGTTTCATTTCATTTTCTCTAATATCTGTTTCCATGCACACCACATCTTCAATATAATCATATTTTTCTGGTTTACCTAAATAAATATAAATATTTCATATTTAAAATTATATTTGGAACTTATATTTGAAAATGAATTAATTTTTTTTATTATGTACGTTAATTTTTTTTTAACATATTCATTTAATCATGTAATTAAGAAAAAAAAATATATATATATGTCTCTGTATATTAAATTATATTATTAAGATGTATATAAAAAATCATTAACTCACAACTGCAACAACATTGTGCATTATTATATAATTGCCTAATTTCGGCTACTTCTTTATTACACACATTACAAATAAGAGCTTTTCTTTCAGGTTGCATTTCGTGTAACCTTTTATTATTTATTTTTAAATGAACATGAAAAATTGCATTATACGCCAATTTCATACATCGTTTCATAACATATAAACACATATCTTCAAGGTGGTTTATTTCGTATTATTTCGTCTTGTTTAAACTTTTATAAAATATTTATTTTATATATAGATTATAACTTTGATATTGATTTCATAGCACAACAAAAAATAATAAAATTCTAAATATAAAAATTTTGCATTTGCATATAAAAATATTCCGTTACAAGAATATAACATTAGAGAGAACGATCTATATTTTTAAAAAATATTCTAATTATTCTTCACATATTTTTTTAATTATTTAAAAAAATAAAAAATTATATCAAGATTTAATAATATAAAACGAAATAAAATTTGCTTTTATTTTGATGTCATAATTGTTTATTGTTAAATATAAAAACTTTTCATTTATTTTTTAATAGAATCTAATGAAAATAAAAAAAAAATAATATATATTATTTTTATGTAACGTAATTATATACACACATTTATTTAATATGTATATTTTGCATATGTATATTGTACGTAAAAATTATGACATTAAATTTTATATATAATTTCTTTCACATTCAAAATTTTTAATTAAATATAGATAAAAAAGTTTTTTCTTATAATATCTTATCTGTTAATATATATAGGATTTTTATATAAAATAATAATATATCAATAAATAACTATTATATGTAATCATGAATAGAAGAGTTTTAAAATAAAAATAAGAAATTTAATTCGCACCTGTTTTTGTTGATTTGCCTGGTAAAGTATTAGAATTTATTGGTAGAAGTCCTTTACAATTTTTTCCGCCCATCTTACATTAAATTAATATTACTCACGGATGATAACTGCTATGTATTATGATATCTATTAATCATTAGATTACTTCGATTACTACAATTATTTGTACTTACATGTTAAAGATTATTTTAACTATAACGATTGACCTCGAATTGCATGTGGCAAAGTATTTTCAATAAACTTTCACTTATTCATAGAATAGATTATAGATTATAAAAAAATATCATTTATTTATTGAATACATCATAATTCATTCAAAGAATTATATCGATAAAATTATTTTGAATCTTTTTTAATATTATATAATAAATTATAATAGATTGGCAATGATTCTTAACATATTAATTAAACAATATAAAAAATATTTTAAATAAAATATTATTGAGATTTAATTATATATTAAATTTACTTCAAAGATTACGAAAATTAATTTTTATTATTCAAAATAAATATATTTATCAATTTATTAAGAATTAAAATTAAGTATAATGTATTTTTTATTGTTTCTGATTTTTTTATAAAATAATCATTTATAACATATATTTTGCAATATTAATTTAACAACAAGAATATACAATCATTTTAAAGTCATTTGATGCATTATTACTGATAGCAACTTGTTGCAGTGATTCATACAATTTTTAACTATACTTTTAAGGAAATCGATTTTCGTGCGCATACGATATTATATACATATATATGGTTTAGCATTAACAAATAAAATAATATAGATTAGAAACATGAACAAGAAATGATGTAAGTTTATTTTGTATACATCAGCGCTCTCTTACAATTCAGTATGAAAAGAAATCTCATATCTTTATGAATATTCTTGCTTATAACATTATTAAATTTTATATCGCATATTAATTTTATTTTTATTATATTAAAAAGAAAAATAATGCAATAAAATATTTATCATTCTTAATGTTTGATATATTTTTATATTGAGATTGCCTCTCTTTTTTCATTATGAATAAAGATGTGAATTGTATACACAAAATATTTCATGTTTATATATATATAATGAAAGAAAAAGAAGCATTTTATAATATTTGATTTGAATTAATTTGAATTGAATAAAATGTTTAGAAAGTTTTAACATTATATTCATTTTGCTGTTATTATATGATAAATTTATTAATAATACAAATTATAAATAAGTTATTTAATATTTATTGAGATTATTAATTAAAAATTTTTCTTTATGAAATATGAAATTGAAATATAATTTTTAAATGAAAATTGATATATAATATATTGTGATTACTTAAAAAGTAAAAAAATTTCATCATGATTTCTAAAACTGTATGCATCACACAAGAAGGTCCAGCAAATGCATTAGCACTTAATAAAGATAATAGTCAAGTTGTTATAGCAGGACGTAATGGTAAGTTACTCAATGAAAAATTAATTGAAAGAGAAATGATTATATAAAGAAATATGATATATATGATTAATAGCTGATTTATTTTATATTACAGTTTTCAAAATATTTACTTTATTAGAAGATAGATTTGAAGAAGCTTGTAATTTACGTGTTGGAAAAAATTTAAATTTAAATTTTTCTTGTAATGATGTTGCTTGGAATCTCATTGATGGTAAACTTCATGCTTTTATTTTCTTTTTATGATTTTAATTCTTTTCAATTTCTTGAATAATTACTTTTATAATTTATTTTTAAATAAAACCAAATAAAAAATAAAAAAATGTTTAATATTTATATTTTTAGATCATATATTAGCAACTGCAGCTACAAACGGAGCAGTGGTAGTTTGGAATTTAAATAAATCATCCAGATCTAAACAAGAACATGTTTTTATTGATCATAAAAGAACTGTAAATAAAGTAAGTTTTCATATGACAGAACCTATGTGGCTAATATCAGGTTCCCAAGATGGTACTATGAAATGTTTTGATTTGAGAATAAAAGAAGCTACTAGAACTTTTTATAGGTAGTATTTAAAAATATTTCAATATATATTTCTTGAAATTCAATATTTATTGAAAAGTATTAAAAAATATTATTAATTTTAGTAATACTGAATCAGTGAGAGATGTACAATTTTGTCCTCATTCACCTCATACTTTTGCTGCTGTTTCTGAAAATGGACATGTACAACAATGGGATTTACGAAAACCAGATCGTTATTTTCAACATTTTACTGCACATAGTGGTCCCATATTTGCTTGTGATTGGCATCCTGAAACAATTTGGCTTGCAACTGCTTCTAGAGATAAAACCATAAAGGTAACCATAAAACTAATATTATAATTATTTATATTTATATTACAAATCAAGAGATTATTTATTAAATATTATTTTTAGCTTAAAATTAATATATGTAAAATTATATATAGGTTTGGGACTTATTAGGTAAACCTACTTGTGATTATATTATACATACAATTGCATCAGTAGGTCGTATAAAATGGAGACCTCAAAGAAAATATCATATATCCAGTTGTGCTCTTGTAGTAGATTGTAGTATAAATGTATGGGACATTCGTAGACCTTACATACCATTTGCAAGTTTTAATGAACATAAAGATGTTCCTACTGGTGTTGCATGGAGAGGCAATCCACAATCTTTTTTATCAACTAGCAGGGTAACAATAGTATTATATATAATATATAATATATAAAATATTATTTACATTGAAAAGTATTAATAAAATATATTTTTATGCAGGATTGTACATTATATCATCATATATTCAAAGATGCTACCAGACCTGCGAGTAAAGCAAATCCACAAGGTATTGCATTAAATCCAAAAGGAGATATTGCATATGCTTGTAAAGTAAATGTTCATGTTACAACTACAATGAAACAATTGACTAATATAATGAGGTTAATAAAATTCTGATAATTTAATACAATTTTAAAAAAATTCAATTTTGTTATCTCAGAGTTTTTGAATTAAACTGAAATATTAAATATTATTTAACATTTATGTACAGAAAAACACCAGCAACAAATGATACATTTTGCATGGCATCTAGTGTTATGCATAGATTTGCTATAAATATGCCACGAGAACCAAAATGGTTTAGAGCTTGTGCAGAAGGCTATTTACTTTCTGGAAGATTAAATGAAATTTGCGATCATAATGCAACTATTGCTAGGAATGCCGGTAGAAATGATGTATGTAGTATTTCATTTAATATTGTACTTTAAGTTATATCAAACTATTAAAAAATAATATATAAAAATTAACTTGAACTAGATTAGTACAGTATGGAATATTATAAAAACTTTATATACAAATCCTATGGGAACTATTTTGAAAACACCGCCAACTGCTTCTAAAGAAGATATTGTGAATACATTAAATTTAGCACAAATTACAATGGGACCTAGTATAGAACAATCAAATGCAGGTAAAAATATCAACATAATTTATTAATATAATATCATTAATAATAAGATATTGGGTATAATTGTCATGAGTAATTAAAGTTTTACAGACTTTTAACGATGTTTGCAATATCTTTTTTAAGTACATGAAAATGATGTAAAATCTTTACAAGGAGAAGTAACAGGTGCAACTAGTGGAGGTGATGATGAAACAGAGACAGATGAAACACCAGAGAATCAACATTCTATAGGATCTATTTTACCTAGGTAATTACCTAGGTTTAGAAATATTATATAGTATTAATTACAATTAATATATTGATTTAATTTTTTCATATGAAAGTATTTACATAGTTACAGACGTGCATTTATTGACCATAAAGGGCCATCTAAAGGAGATTTTTTATTTGGAGAAAGTGAATTTGAACCAATGACAATGGAATATACTTCTAATTACATACATAATATAATAAATAATGATAATGATTGGACATTATCCAAAGAAGCATTTCCTTTGCGACACGAAATTAAAGATAGATCTCCACCACCGGAACAATTTCCAAATCATCCACCGGATATTAACGAGGATTGTGCTTCGTTAATGATCGAAGATCAACCAAGTCAATTAATAGTTTCAAATATACCTAAACCACAATTTTGGGATCCTACGAATTTAATTGAAGAAGCTTTGAAACATCATGCTGCTCTCAGAGATATACAAACTTCCGCATCAATTCTTATTGCGCTAGGAGAAAAGCGGAAAAATTTGAATATTGAAACTGCTGTTCAGGAACATTGGATATTGGAATATTTAGATATGCTTGCAAGATTTAAACTTTGGAATGTAGCAACACAGGTTATTGATAAAATTAAAATTTCTTAATACCATTTAAATGAAAAAAGTAATAATATTAATATGTATTGATAGATTATTCAATCGGTTTGGATTCCATCTGTATCTCAATTAAATCAACAATCAACTGTAATACATGCAAGTTGCTTAGCTTGTACGAAACCATTACAACGAGCAGCATGGTTTTGTGATCGATGTCATTCATCTCATCATGCACTCTGTTCAATTTGTCATCAGGTGAAAAAAAAAAAATTATTATAACATAATTATTCTATATAATATTGTTACATATCTTTAGTTTCATCTGATCGTTACTTTCTAGGTTGTTCGAGGAATTTATGCATGGTGCCAAGGATGTACACATGGTGGTCATGTTGTTCATATGAATGAATGGTTCAGTCGTAATCGACAATGTCCTACAGGCTGCGGTCATATATGTGAATACACATAAAAACATTTTGATTATAATAGTATTATAATTATTTAAATTTTCAACAAATATTTAAATTTCATGAATTCCATAATTGTTGAAAAAGTGTAAAAATTTTATCAAAAACCAAATGTAAAAAGATTAAATTATTTATTAATTATATTTTTATAAGTTATACAATAAGATTATATTTATAAGTTATTCAGTAAAAAATATATGCGCTTATGTGCATGAATTTTGTTCCTTTAAATTTAAAATAATTACATTTTCTTATTAATAAAAATTATATAAAAATATATTAATATTTCAAATATTTAATTTCTACCTTCACTAATTAAATTTAAATGTTTAAAAATAAAATTAGTAAAAATTAATAAATAATTAAAAAATTTTAATATATAAACATGTAAATTTATTATTTTATTAAATTTTGAGTATTTCATAATATACTTTAAAGAAAATAATATCACGGTACAAAAATAATTCTAAGTATTTATATTACGAAAATAAAATTTTCGTAAATGTTCAGAAAAAATGAATGAAAATAAATTTTAATCGAATTCTAACTATTTTTTTGATTAAGCTTAACTATAACGCTTTTGACTTCAGTATATGCTTCGAGACCATATTGTCCGAGTTCTCTTCCATGTCCTGACATCTTAAAACCACCAAATGGTACTTGAGGTGTGAGGACATTGTACGTATTTACCCTGTAATATTATAATAATAAAAAATTAAAAAAAATTGTTTAATATATTTTTTAAGATTCTTATCATAACCTTTTTCAATTTCAATTAATTTTCACTATTTAAATGTATCTAGTAGAAATTATATTTTATTGTTTTATTTTATATATATAATGATGATCATACACACATATATACATATATATACATATATAGTATATATACATATACTCGTGCGCGCGCGTGTATCATCATTAGATTCGTGAAAAAACTTCACGAATATCAGAATATTTATAGTATATGTTCAAAATACAGATCACATATACTATTTAATCAATTATTGATTTAATGCAAAACATATTAAAATTGCTAAATTTTGAATCAATAAAGCCAAGTTAAATATTTTATTTTAAAGCATTATTTTTGTATAACATAACATACCATACAGTACCAGCTCGAAGTCCTTGTACAATATAATTTGCTTTATCGATATCTTTCGTAAATACTGCTGCTGCTAATCCGTAATCAGTATTGTTAGCACGCTTAATAACTTCATTTAAACTGCTAAATTTTAGAATTTGTTGAACTGGTCCAAAAATCTGTAATTAAAATATATTACATTATAGCTATTGCGCTTATTGCATCTTTAAAAAATATGTGGAAATAATTTTTGTATTAATATGCACTTCTTCTTTAGCAATTGTCATATGATCTTTAACATTGGCAAATACTGTAGGTGCAACAAAATAGCCTTTATCACCAATCCTTGTACCACCAGAAACTAATTTTGCTCCTTGAGTCTTGCCTGATTCAATCATGGACATAATTTTATTTACTTGTTCTTCATCGATCTGTGAATAACAAATAAAATAACAAAAGATATAAGAAAAATCAAATTTTATAGAAATTATAGAATTTTATAAAAATTAATAATTAAATACCTGTGGACCTTGTTCTACATTTGAATCAAATGGATTGCCGACGACCCTAGATTTAGCACGTGCTGCACTTCGCTGCACAAATTCATCATAAATACTATCTTCGACGAAAGTTCTTGAACCGGCACAGCAACACTGACCCTAAAGAAAAATATAATATATAATAATAAATGTATGAATATATTTATTTAAAGATAAAAAATATACTACCATATTATAAAATAATCCGAAATGAGCTGTTTCTACAGCATGATCAAGATCAACATCTGATAAAATTATGTTCGGAGATTTTCCACCAAGTTCTAATGTAGTCCTTTTCAAATTAGTCATCGCAGCACCTTGTTTTATCAATTTTCCAACTTCAGTCGAACCAGTAAATGCTATTTTGTCGACTAAATTATGAGCGACTAGTGCTGCACCGGTTTTACCAAAACCAGGAACAACATTAACTACTCCAGGAGGAAAACCAGCATCTTTACATAATTGAGCTACATATAAAGCTGTTAAAGATGTTTGCTCAGCAGGTTTCAATACTATGACGTTTCCTATGAATCATTTTTATTTTTTTATTTTTATCAAGTTTTTATCAAGGTATGCTTATATTATTTATATTAATTTTGATATATCTAATATTATATTTTAAATTTTATTTTTATATTCTGCAAATCTGTAAAATATCGAAACTCGATATTGATTGAGGATAAGATATTTCAAGAAGCCAATCGAAATTTAGATGGAAAATTTTTTAATTGATTTACCCATTATATATTTTGGATGCTATTACTGTGATGTATAATTTATAAAAACAATAAATAAGTGGCAATATATTGACGAATGAATATGTATAGGCGTAACTTAATATATAAGTAACAATAATTTTTTATGAGTATCTTGAAACTAAGTTAAGTGTTTGCATAAATAAAAAATAATTGTTCAAAATCTTATCCTTTATAACATATTTTAAAATCAAAAAAATTAGAAAGTTCTTTTAAAAGATAAGTATCATAATAAATATACCAGTAGCTAAAGCAGGTCCTAATTTCCAAGCCATCATTAAGATAGGAAAATTCCACGGAATAATTTGTCCGCAAACACCAACTGGTTCATGACGAGTATAAGCTAAATATTTTCCATCAATAGGAATAACTTGTCCGTGATTTTTATCAGCCCATCCTGCATAATATTGCAATGTGGCTATACTGCTAGGTACGTCGAATTCATACGCCGCTGAATAAGGTTTTCCATTGTCCAATGTTTCCAAAGCCTAGAATGTAAATTTTCAATTTTTTATCTATATTTATACTTATACATGAATAAAATAGAATGGTAATGCTATATGTAATGAATGGACATTTTTACCGCAAGATAAGCTTGATTACGTTTCATCAAGGAAGCTAAATTGTTTAATAGTACACCTCGTTGAGAAGCATCCATAGTTCTCCATGGTGATCCTAATTGAAAAGCTTTATTAGCTGCTTTTACTGCTAAATCGATATCTACAGCATCGCCTTCTTGTATTTCCGCAATCGTTTCACCGGTTGTAGGATTTATCGTGGGAAATGTTTTTCCTGACGTTGATCGATGCCATTCGTTGTTAATAAAAATCTATATAATGTTGCAATATTAAAATTAATTAAAAAATCATAAAAACAAAATAATCAAAAATTTTAAACATAATATATAATAGTTTTATTTATAAATCGTTAAATATTTTCTAAGATTACATAAGAAAAGATATAGATTTATAATGTTTATTTTTATTTTTTTTTTAAATTTTCTGTTTTAATAAAAATCATTAACAAATATAAATTTTATTCTATAATTATAATAATTATCTATTTAAATATACGAATTTTAAGTAAATTATTCGAAGCTTTATGAACTTAGTAGAGAAAACAATAAAAAAATTAAGTAAAAAAATGATAAAAAAAAATTTTGAATATTGAATTTAATATAAATAATTAAGTAAAACTCTGATTTAGAAAATTATTAGATTTGTTTATTAGAATTGCGAATCTTGTAGACTTTGTATAGACTTTTAATAATTTTATGATCTCTTATCAATTTATCGTATCAACGTTAACGTAACGTATCAAAGTTAAGTAAAAGGAACTCCTTTGAAATATTCATATTGCAGCATTATAACGCAATAATTAATTACATATGAGAAAAATATGATACATTGTGTATGTTTCTGAATAAAATTACTAAATTTTTCTTTTTAATATTGCTTTATTAATATGTAAATAATTGTATCTTGTATCTCAAAAAATATGTAAAAATATATAAATAAATAATATATAAATATATTAACATATTAATAATTACAGTTTAGATTTCGGACTTATTTATTATCTTTTTTATAATTCATATCATAATATATTCATAATATAATAATATCAATATATGTCAATATATTTATTTTTAATTATTTATATTTTATAATTATTTATATTTCATTTTAAATTAATATTTTGAGGTTACGTTTATTGATAATATAATAATTTATTTTGAAATAAAAAATAAAATAGTTTATTTAAAATAGTTTATTTTGAAATTGAAGTTGATCCATCTTTTGATAATTACTTAGGAATGACAATTATTCTTAAGAATTTTCTTCATTTAGTGACGACTATGTTGAGAATAATTATTCAAAAGTAATTGCAACTCGAAAATTTAATTCTCAAATCTTACGAATTTTTGTGATTTGCTATTTTAAAAATATGAATATTAATCTGATAAAATTCATGTGTCATACTGTTAGTTTTATGTAACGATTTTCAAGTCTAAAAAATATAATCATGATTGTTGGATAAAGTCTGATTGGAAGAATGGAAAAAAATAAAAAGTGATAGTGAAACTTAAAAATGAAAGTGAAAAAAATAACAAATGGTATTATTTGCATTTTATTATCAAAATAAAACATATAAACTGATAAATTAAATCAAATTAATTATTCAAACAATTGAATTATATGTTTCTGATCACAATAAAGTAAAGTTTAAAATATTTATTTAAAAAATTTGATATAGCATCTAATAATTATACCAATTATAATATTTTTAAAAAATTTAATAAACAACATTTTTTTAATAAACAACATAATTTAGTTTTCAAGATATTTGTAAAAAATTGTTGCTATTACTACATTGAATTTTATCTATAATCTATACATATATAATAGCATGCAATCATTTATCTATTGGTTTCATAAACATTACGGTGATCGAAATCATAATTTATGTTATAACAATAAATATTAAATATGAGATATGAATAAAATATAAAATATAATATAAAATATAAAATAACTTTTGGATAATCAAAATTACAATGACTGGATTTATTAATTATAATGATATTATATATATATATCTATAATGATATTATAGATATTAAATATGAGACTGATATTATCATTGTAACTTTAATACATTATAATTTAAATTGCTACAATATGTTTATAGAAATAGTTGATAAGCGAGAATTATATCTCATAGATATATACACATGAGAAAAATTTACTAGTAATAGATAATAAACAAATTCGATGTAATAGAAATAAATGAAAAAAATTATTTATAATATTGATCTTAATATCTAATATATTTCAAGACCATATGCTCTTTTCTATATAATTTTAATAATAAAATAAAGCTTTGTCAAGTATTCACTCAGTATTTTCTTTTTATTTTTTTTATAAATTTAATATTTTATAATTATTATAATATTTTGTAATTATGATTTATTATATATTTTATTATATACTCTTTTCAATATTCATTCGATAGTTTTTATAATATTGACAATTTTTAATCATTTAGTTCTGTTATTGATTTTAATGAGTCTTAATATTAAATTTTATATAAGATTTTGTTTAATTAAATTATCTGATCCATTTTTTATTTTTCAAAATATTGCAATATTTAATATTTTTTTAAATAAAATTAAAAAATTTATATAAATTCTATAAAAATTTAGAAAATCTTAATTTTATTTATTTATTTATTTATTTATTTATTCTAAAAAGGACAATAAAAAGAAAATAATAAAATTTTACATTTCTTGAATATTTCGAAATAAATTAGATAAAATATTTTATCAAAGGCAGAATAATTTTCGCATAATTTTTAAAAGAAAATGGCAATTTAAATTTAATTAATTAAAGAGATCTTAATTAAACAATTAATTTGCTTTAATCTCTAGAATTATTTCTTATTTTCTATCAATTCATCCAAAATCCTCTTAAAATGTATCGTAAAAAAATTATTATTCTTCAATTTTCATTCTTCATATTTTATTTATTAAATTAACAAATATTTAAAAAAAACATTCATTCAGTTTAGTATATTAATAATAATTAGATAATATTAAATAAATATAATATATTGTAATATATAATAATATTGTAATATAAAATATTATAATAAATTAATATTGAAACAAAAATTATGCAAAACAAAGCTATTTCATTCTCCCTATATTTCATCTTATATATTAATATTTAAATTAAATTGTTTATAACTTAAAAAATAAATTTCAATGAATTCATTTCTGTATTTTGTTTCAGTATTATTTTTTTTGATCTACTTTGTCTGAACATTCTATATAAATAGCTTTATGTTACTTACTCCTGTATAAAGGATTGCTGGGTTTCTTTCTGGCTCCGGTATAGTAGCTGTAGAAAAATATCGTGATAATTGAACTTTTTTTAATAACCGTAACATGATTACTATTTTTTTTTTTTTTTCGTTCTTGAATATTTAATCAAACGTAATAACTACGTTACTTCGAACACTACTGGCTTTTGTCATCGTCCGTGCTGTTAGTTATGTTGAGGTTAGTTATGCGCACATGCGCAATAATTCATTTTATTGTATTATGATGTATATATATATAAACCAATTAAAAAATTTTACACGATATTTTTACACGTTTGGTATAAGTATGTCATATAAATTATTAATAAATATTTTTGATGAATTAGCGTTAATATTTTCTAACAAATAATATATAATAATATATAAAAAGATGCAATAATAGTTAATGTATTTATATATTATTATTTTCTGAAAATTTTTTGATTTTAATATTTCAGAAAACAAATAATTAATCTCGATGAAATTGATCAATTTGACTTCTGTGAGGTTCATGCAACAATTGTAAATGTATGATATACATATATATACATGTATAAGTATACATAGAGTATTCTAGAAATTTAACTGATTATTTCTGAAATGATTTGAAACAGCTCTTTTTTTGTCGTGTAATGACAATAATATGTATAAATCGTCGATAACTTGAGGACAAATTAAAACAATTATTATTTGAATTCATTCATCATTGAATTTATATACATAAATTATATTTTTATGTAATTATATAATTATATATATATATTCTCTATCTTTATTATAATTGAATATGTTTATTTTTTCGTTTCATTTTGTAATTGTTAATAATAACATTTAAAAATAACATTTAATAAGTTTTAAAAAGAATAGAATCTTATCTTTTTTCTTAGATTAGCTATTAATTGTTATTGCAAAAATTAATTGTTTCTGCAAAGATTATAGAGATAAATAATTCTATGCTTGATTGCAATCGATTTATATGATCCCGAATATTGCTTTTACATTTGAATATATGTCATAAAATATCATTCTTTTGCAACAATGATATAATTCAACAATTATGATTTAAAAACAACGATTTTATTTTCTAAATTTCTATAAAATTGTTTAAAAATTTTGAAATTGAATCAAATTATAAATATACAATTTAAAAAAAAAATACACTTACATGATTTTTCAGAAAATATAAGCAACAACAGTTTTTTTTTTATATTATTAATAACTCTGTAATATTAATAATGTAATATTTGTAACTAACTGTAATATTAATAACTCAAAAACTGCAAATATTGAGTTGTATTGAGAAAGATAAGATAAAGATAGAAAAATTGCTTCTATAAAATTTCTAATTCAAATAGATATCATATAACATACAATTGAGAAAATTAAGAAAAAATTTAGAAATTATAAATTAATTATAAATTGAATTTATAATAATATTTTATTTACCGACAGTCTATTGATAAACTTTATATATTAACATTAACATTTATTAATTAGCCTATAAATCTTATATTTTTTATTAATTTCTTCTGATAAACCATTAATTTTAAATCTGTTAGAGATAATAATAAAAAAATTGTTAAATATATTTGCAGTTGTGTTGTTAGTAATAATAATAATAATATTTTATTATATTATATATAATATTATATAATAATATTTTTTCAAAGTTGTTAAAAAAGAATATATTAATGCTATAGATAAAGATCGTATCTATAGATTGCAACGATATATTATATTTTATGAGACATTAATTTATTTGTATCATTATTATTTGTATTTGTGAAATCCATTGAGCATTCATTCCTTAATTCTTATATTTTTATTTGTATTCATATTTATTGCTATATTCGTATTATATTTATATTCATTACGAATAATCTTAGTAAAAACGTAGCAATAAAAATAGAAATATAACTTTTATAATAAAACTTTTATATTGATTATATAAGTCATTTATAAATTTTGCTCAAAGATATTCCTTTTTCTCATCGTTTTAATCGTTTTAATCGTTTTATATGTTTTTTTGAAACTGATTCAAAAAATGAATTCAATTTGTTGAATAGATTTTCGTATAAAAGTTGCAACTGAAAATATGTAAAAAGAATACATATGATATAGTTGAATGATCTAAGTAAATATTAAATATTGAACTACAATTTCGGCATAATATATATATCATGGATATATACATCATTCTCGGATGAAAATGATAGAATTTTCAGTTCATTTTCTCGAACCTAATATTTATTATTTAAATTTTATAATTAATGTAAAATATAATTTAATTAATATGTAGAAAAAAATCGATCGCAATTAATATTTTTTTTTACAAAATTTGATACAATTATATGAAAAATGGAACAAAATGAATAATATATAATATATAAACAGAGATCAATAAAATAAAAATTGGTTTTTCATAATGTTTGTGTAAATTTGAATTCAACTGTAAAAATTGCCTATTATATTCGATTTAAAAATGGATAAAAAATATGGATTTTTATTATATTATATATATATAAATATTCCAAAGGAAACAATTTTTTTTTAAATTTTTATCAACTCTATTATATACTATAATTATATTATAATTGTACAATTATAATATACACTATAACTATATAT